TTTTTTGTTAATAATATTGGAAATTAAATCGTGTATTGAATTTCTTGCACATTTTTTTATCTTCACGGTGAAAACGCAGGGAAAAGCAGAACACATTGTGATATCTGGCCACGACGGCGGGACCGGGGCCAGCACCTGGACGGGAATAAAGTCCGCTGGATTACCTTGGGAATTGGGGGTCGCGGAGACGCATCAGATTCTGACCTTGAACAATCTTCGGTCGCGCGTTATCGTGCAAGCAGACGGTCAAATGCGTACAGGGTTTGACGTGGTGGTCGCGGCACTCTTGGGCGCCGATGAATTTGGCTTCAGCACCGCGCCGTTGATTTCCATGGGCTGCACCATGATGAGAAAGTGTCATTTGAACACCTGCCCGGTCGGTATCGCGACGCAGGATCCAACACTTCGGAGGAAGTTCGAGGGGAAACCAGAACACGTAATTAATTTCTTCTTCGCGCTGGCGGAAGAGGTACGTACTATATACCGTACTATACGAAACTGGAAACAATTCCATGCGAATTTCACAGAGAGAAGAATATCATCATATCCTTTCTTTCTACGTGTTCTAACACTGCAGGTACGTTCTTACATGGCCAGCCTTGGATTGCGTAAGTTTCAAGATCTGATAGGCCGTACAGATTTGTTGAAAGTTCGCGAAGACATCTCGATAGAGAAAGCCAAGACGTTGAAGCTCGACAATATTTTGCGCAACGCGCTTGAACTCCGTCCAGGAGTGAACATTCAAGGGGGATCGATGAAGCAGGACTTTCAGCTGGGAAACAGACTGGACAATCGCGTGATCGAATTGGCCATGGGTGTGTTGAAGGGGAAACAGAATTGCGTTGACATCGTGTTGAACATCAACAACGAGTGTAGAGCGTTCGCGGCAACGTTGAGCTACCACATCTCAAAGTATAAACGATATTTTTTCCTCTCGATTCTTCGGGAGCATTCTTCAAAGAATGCTCCCGATCACAACGACACAACGATCGACTGATTCTTTGATTCGTCTTTCCACGCGACAGGTTGTACGGGGAAGACGGTTTGTCAGAAGGTAGCATCAACATAAAGATGAAAGGTTCTGCGGGTCAGAGTTTCTGCGCTTTCATGACTAGAGGCGTTCACGTCACTCTCGAAGGAGATGCCAACGATTATGTTGGCAAGGTAAATAATACACACACGTTCCTTCCAACCAGTATAGAAATATACATGCACGTACACGCACGTTTGGTGTAACTCTTTTTGTTTTTGTTTTTCTCTCCTCTTCATTTTCAGGGCTTGTGCGGAGGGGAAATCGTTATATATCCACCAAAGGATTCTACTTTCAAGTCCGACACGAACGTGATCGTTGGCAACGTGTGTCTGTACGGTGCCACTTCTGGCAAAGCGTATTTCCGTGGGATCGCCGCTGAAAGATTCAGCGTTCGTAACAGTGGCGCGATAGTGGTGGTGGAAGGGGTCGGTGATCACGGCTGCGAATACATGACTGGCGGTTGCGCAGTCATTCTGGGGCTTACTGGCCGGAATTTCGCAGCTGGAATGTCCGGAGGAATAGCGTATGTCCTCGACGTGGACGGATCGTTCAAAAGGTGTAGTACACAGCGCACTCTTTATTCTTCTTTGTCTACTCTACAATTTTATAATATATATACGGTTACATGTGTGTATTTACGCTATATATATATATATATCATATAACGAATTTTTATCTATTATTATACGACGACTCTTTACACGCAGTAAATGCAACCCTGAAATGGTAGAACTGCTTCCTTTGAACAAGCAAGAGGACATTGCGTACGTGAAGAAGCTTTTGGAAGAATTCGTTGAGAAAACTGGCTCTCTGGTGGCTCAAGATCTTCTAATGATATGGCCTGAGCCAACCACGCGATTCGTCAAGGTTGATATAATATTCGACGCGATTGATATGTGACGAACGAACGATAGCTATATACCGTGTTCCAATTTCTTCGAAGGTATTTCCGTACGAGTATCAGCGGGCGTTGAAGCAAGCTGAAGAAACCAAACGGGCAGAAACGATACCGAATGGAAGCTCCCAGACGGTGAACGCACAGGTGAAAGATATCGAAGACACTATTGCAGACATTGAGATAGAAGAGTATAAATTGGACAAGATAAGGTAAAGGTTTGAATTCGGTGAACCAGCAGCGAGTAACTAACAACTCTGGTTCTCGTAGCTTCAAGCGTGTCTATTTTAAATTGAGAGAGAGAGAGAGAGAGAGAGAGAGTTTGACGATACGCGTAACGTGTGTTAAGAGCAGCGTTTTATTTTTAGAGGATTCATGAAGTACAAAAGGCAGACGGGAGCTTATCGGCCGGTTGAAAACCGAATCAACGATTGGAACGAGATCTACAACTTTCAAAAGGTTCGCAAAGGACTGCGCGTACAGGCGGCAAGGTGTATGGAATGCGGCGTGCCGTTTTGTCAAAGTAGTCACGGCTGCCCGCTGGGCAACATCATTCCCAAGTGGAACGATCTCGTTTTCCAATCGAATTGGAAGGAAGCTCTGAATCAGTTGTTACAGACTAATAATTTCCCAGGTTTGTTTGAAAGAAGAAGAAAAAAGGCGCAGGGTAGAGAGTACAGTAGCAGATAGTGTATTATATCTTTTAAATCTAATTAAGCATTGTTTATGCAGCATATAAATACAAATATTATAGAATTATATGTATTTATATAGAATTCACCGGAAGAGTCTGTCCCGCTCCGTGCGAAGGTGCCTGCGTGCTGGGTATATCGGAACCAGCAGTCACGATAAAGAACATCGAATGTGCGATAATCGACCACGCGTTCGAACAAGGTTGGATAGTTCCGCATCCACCAACAACTAGAACTGGCCGGCGAGTAGCTGTAGTTGGCTCTGGCCCCGCTGGTTTGGCTGCGGCTCATCAGTTGAACAAGGCAGGCCACTTGGTCACCGTTTACGAGAGGAACGATCGAGTCGGAGGCCTGCTGCAGTATGGTATCCCGACCATGAAGCTGTCGAAACAAGTTGTCCAAAGGAGAGTTTCGCTTCTCGCCGCAGAGGGTATCACGTTCAAAACGGGCATCGACGTTGGAAAGGATATTTCTGCCAAGGTATTTCCTGACGACGCTTACCCGTGACCACGGGTCGAAACTTTGTCGTGGTGCGTCGTTGGTGCATCTTTTAATTTTGGCACTTTGTTTGCATCGTGCAGGAATTGCAAGAACAGTACGACGCAACGTTGATATGCACTGGCGCGACTTGGCCAAGAGATCTGCAGATACCAGGTCGGCACCTCGAAGGGATTCACTTTGCTGTCAGTTTTCTGGAACACTGGCAAAAGAAGCAAATGGGCAACGACGCTCCGCTGGATATGCGTTTAATGGCTAAAGACAGGGACGTCATTATAATCGGGGGCGGTGATACTGGTTGCGATTGTATAGCCACGTCCTTGCGACAGGTCAGAGGGATCATTGTACACTTTTACTCTTCGCGTACTCTATCATTTTATCTATGCAATAAAAATTTCAAAGTAACTTGAATCGCTGTTTATGAAGAAGAAGAAGTCAGTCGAGAGGAAAGAAGAGCGTTTCTATTTTTATAATTGTTATTACACAGGGTGCCAAAACAGTCACAACTTTTGAAATTTTACCCGAACCACCGAGCAACAGAGCACACGACAACCCTTGGCCACAGTTTCCACGCGTGTTCAAGGTGGATTACGGCCATGAAGAAGTTTCCCTGAAATTTGGCCGGGATCCCCGTCAGTTCAGCACATTGAGTAAAGTATGTAAAGATTCGCAGATTTCGCACGAGACAATTGTGATGAAATAATAATCGTGATAAGCAATACATACGTCTGACAGGAGTTTCTAGACGATGGGAACGGTCACGTGAGTGGCATCAACACGGTGTCGGTATCGTGGACGATGGAAAACGGACGTTGGAAAATGGAGGAAATCCCCGGTACAGAGAAGGTAATTGCGCACGAACGTTGCAATTTGTAGTTGTCTACTGACACTTTCTGATGATACACTTTTTCTTTTTCGTTCTCTCGTCGTAGACATACAAATGCGACCTAGTTTTACTCGCGATGGGTTTCCTCGGCCCAGAGAAATATGTAGCAACAGAATTGAACACAACGATGGACGAGAGAGGTAACTTCAAAACATCAGTTGGCAAATACGAGACAAGTTTGAACGGGGTGTATGCAGCTGGAGGCAAGTTGCTTTGCATTTTTTACTTTATATTATATTACCCCTTCTTCTTTTTAAAAGTCCAACTAGCATAAATAAATTTTAACTTTCTCACGATTATTCGTCAGCGATATACAAACCGTGTCTTGTTATTATTTGGCGCAGATTGCCGGCGTGGACAGTCTCTGGTAGTGTGGGCAATCACAGAAGGTAGGCAAGCCGCGAGAGAAATAGATCTGGCCTTAATGGGAGAAACTGGTCTTCCTGTAGCTGGTGGCGTTATAACCGGCGTCGTTGTCGGTTAAAATGCACACGTTCCGCTCTGTTAGTCATTCAGGATTCGACTATTTCTTTCTATCCGTTGGTTTCTATCCGCGCTCTCCTTTCCTTTTTTCCAACTTTTCCAATGGTTTGTGGTGGTTCGACCACCACCGTATGTAAAGTGTACGATCAGCCAGTGTGCCATTAGGCGAGTAAATATATTCTATCTAAAGAGCAGCAAGGAAGAAACGCGATCAATGTGAGAACAAGGAAATCAGTATTATTTTATCGTGAGTGTTGTGCGAGTTGTGTGAGTTTTCGGCTGTATCGAGAATCGTCAATTGTGTTCGTTCACACACTGGTAGCGTTGGTTATTAAAAAGTAAGTGCAGTAAGAATCGCAGCAGCAGTGTAATAACAGCTGAAGTGTGAAAGAAAGGTTTGCATTTTTGTTTCGAGTTGTCCTTCTCGTATATACATGATATTTGTTAATTTCTTTAAAAAAGAGAAAAGAAAGAAAAAAAAGGAGGAAAAAATGGTATAATTAAGTGATAGTAAGTTGTTGTAAGTCGGATCGAAAAGAGAAATAATCGTAGATGATATCGTTATAAATCTACCTCGTACGCTCTTTTACGTTTCTTGCTTCTTTCGTGTAAAACGTGAATCGTTCCACGTGATTGAGAAAAAACGATCTTTTAAAGGTTATGTAGTACGTATATATTTGAGAAAACACGAAATGTTCCTTAAATGTTTCTGTTGTTGAAATCGAAGTCAAAGACGGAACTGTAGATCACACAGATCAGATTGAAATTAAGCCACGCGAATATTTACATTGAAGTAACGTTTCGCAATCGATTTCGTGACTTCTCGATCTATATATATATTTATATATATATATATATATAAATTTTTTTTTTATCTATACGTTTCGTTTCAATCTATACATTGTAACGTATTTACATACACGTGGGTATGTATATATGTATCATTCTCAAGTTTATTATATTTATTTATAAAAAGAAGAAAAATCCGAACGATGACATGTTCATAATTTTCTTGATTGTAAAAAATTTTCTGCGCCGACAAGTTTCCTTTGTTCGTTGCGCGTATCATTGTACATTCTATGCGAAGAGAAAGAAGATACTTCGAGACAATAAATATATAAGGAAAGAAATAAAACGTTTAAATGTTGAATACGTGCAATTCAATATGTCGTGCAAAATTCCTACGTATTTACCATCTGCTGATGAATGCCTATTGTTTGTATAATTTTCATGTTAACGACACGAAGGTTTAGTGGAAGAATTTAGCCGCCAATTACAGTTGTCAGATGACAAGACCAAAGAGGGCAAAGATAAACGAGAGAAGAATAAATCTTACGTATCTGATTAGCTCGACCATCAATTGCCAAGTATGTTACGTCCGATTCCTCGAGACGTCCAAGAGGCAAATTGGCACGATTTCCTGCAAGATCAATCAAAGGAACATCGAGTCGGCCACATCCGCGATGAAATCGTCGACGCGGCCGTCGCAACTGCGTTTGAAAGATATTGCTTGAGGAAGAAATTGTTCGAGTTCAGCGTTGAATGTTGCCGTGTAGCCTGGCTACGGTTGTTCAACGCGAGTATTATATATTCCTCCTTATCCAGATTTTTCTACTTTCTCCATTTACTGTCTCTCTCTCTCTTCTCTTTTTTTTTCAGTGGGTGTTTTCCAGATTGGATCCTTGCTGCAAACAGGATACAACTGGGAGGATGATGCATTTGACGGTTGACGTTGAACCCCATTCCTCACCCATTGATCCTTGGATATTTGGAAACGTGTCTCAGACATTTGTCCAGAAATCGCTTCCGCCAGCATTTATTTCTAAACTCCCAGCAGCTGCTAGAAAGCCACCGAACAACCACCAAGCAAAAATCGTGCGAAAAGAACGAGCCAAGGACGAGTCAAGATCGTGCATCAACGAGGGAAAATTGAAAGAAATGAAGAAACAGGTGACAACCTTACGACGGAAACCAGCGAGACCACACGGAATAGTCGACGAGAGCAAAAAAGCAAATGGCTACCCCGAAAAGAACAATAGTTCTTCGTTCGTTCATGAACAACTGAATGTAGATTTATCAGCGGGAAGAAGGGAAGATAATTTCGATAAAAGGAATAAAGCTGATTTATTTCCAAAGATAATGAAGAAAATAGGTGATAACAATAGCAATAAGAAGCAACGAGAGATAAAAGATACTCGACGATCGTCGAAGAATCCGCAGCTAGATGAAACGAAAGTCTTGTTAGGGAGGAAAGAAGCAGCAACAACGATACCACTGTTGCCTCGACAAATATCGGATAGGTAAAGCAGTTTTACTTTCGTCAAAGTTCGAGACTCGTTTCGAACGATTCACAGAAGAAATATGAGAATGTATATCATTTTGCAGGATAGAGATCGTCTCGTATACAATTTCACCAGAACGCGACGAATGTGCCTCGACTGAAACGTTTCAAGCTAAAACAAGTGAAATAAGTATGAGTAAATGATATCAATTATATTTGTTCGTTGTTATCAAGACGAAGAGTTTGAAATCGAGTTCAAGATCGCAAGTCGAACAATATATGGTCAAAAGAAAAAGAAAAAGAAAAGAAAAAAAAAAGAAAACGATACGTAAGTTGGAACGAATAAAAATGATACGTTGCGACAAATTTTGCAACAGAAGATACTAAATGCACGAATGAATTGAAAGGGAATATGAACCGATCGAAGGAGAAACATGATGAAATACATATCAAATACAATGTTTATTTCCTGTCTCTCAACCTCCGCCACATTTTCTTTCTTCAGCAAACAATATTCAACAATATATATCAAGTATAAAAAAAATTAAATACGCGCGTCACGCGCGTGCTCATACATATAACTCTCTTTCTATTTCAACCTGCCCCTTTCTCTCTACACACGCACACATACAATGTCGTCTAACGAAGTACAAAATATACGTAATAGCGTCTTATATTTTGATTACTCCTACGTAATCAATAGAATCACAAACATCGGGCGTCTTCAAATTTCTTTATTGTTGTTGTTGTTGTTGTTGTAACAAGCGCAGAGAGAACGTTCGACTTCCTTGCAACTGCTTCTCTAATCCGGTAAAATTTCCGTCCAAACCCGACTACTTTTTACAGTCCAAGTCTGAACGCGATGCTCGATTCGATATCGTCTCAGCTTTCTATATCTTATATCAGTTCTCTAAATACTTTGATACCCGTACAAAGATTATCTTGAAATTCTAACGCTGATCAGTCTTATAAAGTCACATACGGATGACCCTACGCACTTTTTTCCTTTTCTCTTTCAACACAATCGTTTTTAAATTTCGTAAATATTAAGCATATTTTATTAAAAATAACATGAATCTACAAGAAAACGACGATGAGGATGAGGATGACGATGATGATGATAAACCGACGATAAGATATTACAAACAAATTGTTTCTCAACGTTGTCGATGTCGCGAATATTGCATGTATGATGATCAACCTTTAAAATATCGTACGGATTCGTATTTTGCGTCAATCGTATTTTTTCTTTTTTTTCTTTTTTTTTTTTCATGTATCGCAATATTTTGCGTCACAATCGATAATACCTAAGAATTTTAAAATTTCCCATGAAAGAAGATCGTACTGAAACACTGGAAATTGAAATATTGAAAAACAAGACGTACAACGCTATACATATAGAAAGGATAGATGCATAAATATATATCAACTGACGATTAATACAAGCAAAAGAAGATGTCATCATACATCGTAGAAGGGAACTCTAGAAATCTGTTTGCATTCAATAGTTTTAAATGTCCATTGGTACTTTTGAAACTATACATCTATTATTCCTTATTACTATATTTCCACAGTTTAACTGTTATTGTTCTTGCTACTCTAATCAAGAAAACTTGATTTTAATTTTACCGCATCGTTTACGTAGAAACGCAGGAGAAGAACTACTGTTACAAGTCTTATACAATACGAGTCATTCCTTCGTTGAACGAAGATACAGTTTGCATCTCTCTTGCACAAGAGAGGATGTGTCTGCCTACGCGAATCTAGAAGTTTGCATCGCAAAATGTTTTCAAATTCACCAAACAGCTATTCTAATTTGCGGCATTGATTGATCTCGGATATGTTAATTCTCGCGCATAAGAAAGAACGACAGTGTTCAAAACGAATTGCAAACAACGTCAGGGAATATTCAAAATTTAGAAATCACATAAAGAAGAAACGATCGGCGAATCCTTTTTACCCTTTACTTTATCACAATTGTCAAAATGCGCCTTTCAGATCCCATCACCTTCTTTCCCCGCCTTTCCGTTTTCTGTTTTCTCTTCACATTCGTTTCACATTCGCTTTTATTCTGTTCGCAGTACATCCCTTCCTTTCGTTATAGCTAGCCCTCCTCTAAATAAAATATATCGCAAAGCGTGAAATATACGGCGCGTCAGAGAAACTGATTTTCGCTCGCTTTGCATGGAAAATAAAAATACGGCCACACGTGATGGCCTACTTATAACTAGAAAATAGCTTGGAATAATCACATTTATCAAGACAATCGAATCAATGGCTCTCGAGATGGATCGCAGGAGGATCCGTTTATTGCGCCTGCTGTTGATACGATCTGTACAATTTTTTCTTCTCCAAAGTAAAGTCTCTGCTGATCATAATGGTACCTCCTCGCGTCAAGTTTCTGAAAAGAACAGGCAAAACGAATTAAAATTAGCAAACAGGTTCCTTTCGAGTTCCTTTCCAAGTTTACGCCGCTTGTTAACGAATGCCGTTAATGCCGCTCGACTTACTTCAGAAATTGAGGTAACAGTATGTGCCAAGACGTGTGATCCTGTTTCAAAGTCAAGTAAATTTCAAAAGTGGACACTGTGTTGGGGTCGCATTGTATCTTGGACAATTTCCTGCACACGCTGTCCGTCTCAAAACTAATGAACAAGGTACAGCCTCTGTAATGAGAAAATCACAATGATACAACAATACAATCTTTATTATGTACAATCGTATTCATTGAAAAGAAGCAAGAGAATTGTCAAATTGGATCAAGTTGACAACAGTGTTTACCTCAGACCGCAAGGTTCATTCTCGGCCATGCTAAGTACAGTTTTAGCTATTCTAGGTAAAAGGTCAGCTGGCAGCAGAACTTCCCCGCATGCTAACTGCGCGTGTTTCGCTCTCCTCAGTTCAACTTCCACTCGTTTTGCTAGAGCCTGGCAAGCCCCGTCAAATTCTTCGGCCGCGATTTCGGCTGATATGCAAAGTACACAATTCGTTAATTATGATTATCCTTACTCCAACCGATAATTATTATCACTATAATTATAATTATCACTGTCGCGTTGGAGAGTCTGACACGAGCTGTCTGTCAAATAGTTTGTCTCTTGATTCCAATTAACACATTCGCGACCGGCAACGTAGTTTTACGTCGTTTTAAATTTGTTTAACCGAGTACCAGCAATGTAGTCTTACGACATTTTAAAATTGGCGCTCCTGCTAGTCGTGAGGCTTACGTAAAACACCAGATGGCTGAATACAATTTTTATTTCAATATTATAAATCTATAAATATCTAATAAATATAATCTCATAAATATTATAAATTCATAAATAAGTGAACGATAATCCAATTATCCAAACTGTAATAATATCGCTGAATATAGTTAACAGTATCAAGTATGCAAAGTCAACACGTAACAATACCTGTCATTACCGGTTCACTTAACAGGTAAGAAGAAATTGATTATTCATCCCCTTCTTTCGTCAAAATTGTCAGTCTCTTCGTTTCGCAAATTTTTATTAGGTCACATATTCTCTTTGTATATTGATTATTTAAAACTCTTATGTCATCCGAGAAACCAATAACGATAGTTGGACACGGATGCTCTCCGTCAGCGATACAATTCAAACGAAGGAATATTAGAATAATAAGAAGCGACGAGGAGTCTGATAGCTCCATCGATAATAGAGATTGAACCTCTCGCGGTACTCAGCCACGGACTTTTGGAAATCATGTTTGCGTTCAGCCAAGCGTCTCGCCCTACAATTCGCCGATCGCGAATGTGTTAATCTGTAAAATAATCATACGTAAAACAATTCGTTGATTACGATTATCGTCTCTTGCAACAACCGACTAGAACTATAATTGTCGCTATTGTTGTTCAACGTCGTTACGACTCGAAATATTTGTGTTGCGTGCCTCTAACAATAAGAGACGCGTTCAACTGGCTACGATTATTAGTCGCGCATGCGCCTAGAGAACAAACATTTTCCTGTATATGCAGGTCGAGCGTACGTGCCGGCCGGCTTCACCGGCAACCAACTTATTCAAACAGCGACAATTTCTTCGAAATTAAACCGCTCCGTGTCACATTATTGCTTGCTCATCACTTTATCATTAAGAAATATATTTCCTATTTTTCTTTCGAGAAAAAAAAAAAAAGGAAATTTTGCTCAATTGCGCAAGCAACTATTCGTTTCACATTTCAGGTGATGTAACATCGACAATCGAACGAGTTATATCAAATACGATTTCGTTCATTATAAATTCGTTTATTCGTTTATTCCGTGAAAAGTCAGCTGATCTGGAAAATCAGCTGAAGCAATTTCGATCGGTTGCCATCGGCTGTCGTTCGCGTACGTGAGACGTGACACAGTTAAAGCAACAGAAAGGAAAGCAAAGTCGACTCGCGTTAACAAGATCGAAGAGTAAAAAAGAAAAAAATCAAAGACTAGTACCTCTCGTGTTATTAAAATTCACATTCACAGGACACGGTAAAACCTCCATCTTCGTTGAGATGTAACACACAAATAGAGGCAGGAGCGCGCACGCGCACGCACCTACACATATATATGTACACACACACAGAAAGAAAGAAAGAGAGACAAAGAAAGTGAAGGAGTGAAGAGTGAAAAACACGCAGTCAGACACAGATAGACACGGAACGACTGTGTAATGTCACAACACGACCTTCTTGTAACGCGTAACTACAGCCAGATTATTTCTTTAGCGTTGGAAATATGTCTGTCGCGAGTTTTGTGACGATTTTCTATTCTCAGTGTGGATCCTTTTCTTTTTACAAGTTTTTTTTTTACAGTCGAGCGAAGTCACTTTGGTCACTTTGGACGATCGTTCAAACAGCACGACTGCAGCAACGGCAACAATCCTTTCTCTTTAACTTTCACTGGAAGCTACGATCACCGTACAGTGACAGAAACACAACACACTCGTACTTACACGCTGAACTCAGGCAACTGATTTGCCGATCTACGATGACGCGGCTTCTATACTAACGTTCCCCTCCCTCCTTCATTTTTCCCTTCCACCGCTCCTCGACAGGCCGCCTAGCAACACCAGCTACGTGACGTTTCGCACTGCACCCGCTTCGGCTGTCTCCGTTACCCGTCGTTCGGTTATCTTCGGTTTCGGTAATGCCGCTTTCCTTCGACATCTCTCCCGATCGGGGACCGAACGACCTAAACAGCCCGTTTCAATGTAATTTCAACGATAATTTACTGACGTTCTCGGCGTTACCGTCCTTTTGTTCTTTATTTCAACCTTCTTTATCTTTTCTCCCTCCAACTCCTTGAGCGATTGTTATAGTTTTTTCTTTTTCTTTTTCTTTTTTTTTTTTTTTGTTACCTATACGATCGTCGTTGATTCGTTGGTAGTTAACAGTTTACGTTCGGCTGATAGTAAAATTAGTTTCATTCTATCTAATCGCCGTTGTATCTATCTTGCAATTATTTTGAATTAATTATCATTTGTCCGTATGTGCACGCTTGATAAGTTTGCTTTTCAATGTTTTTCTACTAGCAAAATCAATTGTCCGATAAATATCCTTAATCGTTTTTTTATCCAACTTTTTTTTATTTACATTTGCATATGTAGATACGTTTACACTCACAGCATGCGCGCGCATATGTATATACATTCTGTTCAGATATCTTTTCTTCTTTATCGTCTGTCTTTGAGGTAGGTCGTCAATATCGTTTTTTCTTTTTTTTCCTGTATTTGTATGTATGCAATATATGCTGTGTAATAAGCTGTTTAATATATATATATATATATATATATAGAACACTCATATATAGACAAATATTTTATTATCTTTAATGCTTATATCTCTATGTGAAATAAAACTAGCATGTTTGTAAATGGTAAGAACGAGAATATACATACATACATAATTCGTAAGTGTAACTCTAGATTTTTCGATAATGCGCGTATGCAAGCATGCGTGCATGTAACATGCATATACGTATAAAATGTACGTATTCTCGAGTATAGAACCAAGTTAACTAGTTACCAAGCCAATTTATCTATTTCACATAATTTTGTACAAAAAATACTATTATTATTTTCTTGTTATTATATTATAAAATCGAAGTGAAGGAGCAAAATCGTTATTGTACTTCTTTTTTAATGTTTAATGTACAGTTCAAAATATATGTTATCGCGCTACTGATTAGGAAAAATTTATGTAAATCACAACATATTAAGATGAAAAATAGCATGCAAATGTAATAAATACAATCACTATATATAATAAACTCTTTATTGGTGAAAACGAAAGTAATAAAAAATTTATCCTTTTACTTATTTATTCATTTTTTCGTTAATTTATGTTTACATACGTGTGTGTCAAAAATAAAACCGTAGGAAGCTTGAAACAAAATATCAACAAGATATGATCCGTCAACTGATGTTTCTCATTTCAAATGGAACGATGAAAAAGAGAAATGTAAATTTAGTTATTTCTTATATGAAGAAATCGTAAAAGCTTTATCAAGCTCCAAGTTATTAGTCTTGCGTTTGTTTTTCATCGCGACATTTTATCTCGGTGTAATAAAATCTTTGAGTTATGAAAATACATCTTTTAATTCTTTTACTTTTTGCAAGTAAAGAATGAAAAAAAAAAAAATACACACACGCGATATTTAATTGTAGCGATACACTTACAATTAGTCATACTTCAAATACTTTGTTCTTCTTGCGCCTTTATACTCTTTATCTAGTCTCTGTAAAAATAGAATTGACAACATAAGCGATACGATTCTTTTTCTTTCACATACATATGTGATATATACACTTAGCGATTATGATTCCTGGTGCACGCGCGCACGTGTTGTGTGTGTGTGTGTGTGTGTATGTACATTTTATTTCCATATTTCTTGACGGCAATTTTAAATAATTTAATTTATATACGTTATATGTACGATGCGTAAATAAGTATATACATAATGCCCGTTTGTTTGCAGTGTCAATTGAAAATGTAGTGGCAACATAGCTACACACTTGTGTTGTGTATACAGGGTGTCGGGAAAGAACAAAATTTTTCCAGTGAAGCCTTCGATTTCGAGAAAATCGAGTTTAAAGATTTATCGAGTATACTTGAATGTAGCTGTTTCTAAACGTTACAGAAAAGAATAATCAAACAGGTGCGGAAATAAGTAAAGAATGTAAAATAAAATTTTTTGCAGGATGCTTCATTTTCGAGAAAATCGAGTCTGAAAATTTATTAGACACGCGTGTACCACTGCAATTTTTAACGAAACATAGTCGAAGCCTATTTTCTTGAGAATGACACTTTAAACGAAAAAATTTTATTCCACGTTATTCTTATTTTTACTCGTAAAATATCCTCGTGTCGATTACTCGCGCCTGTCCACTACGAAATTAAATTCAAAAATATGCTTGATAAATTTTCAAACTCGACTTACTCGAAAAACAAAATTTTATTCTTTCTTTTCGACTCTTTTTCAAGTAGGATCATTTTCTACTCGGTACCATTAGTTGCAGGACACCCTGTATGTCCGTAAAAGAATATTTCACTCGAGGCGAACAATAAAACATAGCTTCTTCTATTCATTTTTCGTATGATGTAATGCCAATGAGAATTGCCTAGATTTTGATCATTGACTAAGGATAGAGTAGACCTGTCACGAAATTGGATTTTACGTCTCAGGTATTCTGAAATACCAACCTTGAAAAAATCAGAGTGTTTTCTTGTCTCATTTATTATAGACATAAAAATTACATTCAATTACATTCAATCTAGCTCTGTCATCCAAAGTGGAAAAATTTTTATTTGCCGAGTGTTCTCAGCAAGAAAGATTAACTGAGTAATTGATTGTGAGAGAATGAAAGCTATTAGCTGTTTACGATCTATTTTTGCTCGATATATATTTATACAAATTTATACAAATTTATACAAGTTAGACAGTATATTTTCACCGAAAAAACATGTACAACGAATATTATTTTATTTAACTTTCACGTATAACAATAGATTTTGCCGAGCGTTTGCTTTTTTAGTTTATGCAATTGATTTCATCTGATGAATTTGAATCTTACTTATTTTTGCCGCCATTTCTTTTTATCACATCGTCGCTGGCTATGTACTAAAAAAGAATTGCGTGCATGCAGATGATGCTGCCATCTAAGCATCCCTTAGTCCTGGCTAGAACTAAAGGAATAAAGATACAAATTCCGATAGATAGCATCTTCTCAATATGTATAGCGCGCGCGCACAGCTTTTCTTTACCGACTAAGCAGCGGTGACGAAAGAAAAAGAGGATGAAAACAAATGGCGGCAAACACAAGTGAGATTCAATTTGAAATCGATTGGAAAAGTAAGAACTCGACAATTTATTGTACATAAAAGTTAAATAAAATAATACTTGTTGTGTTTTTACGTCAATTGCCATAATATTATCAATTAAAAGGAGTAATCCTCCATATATACCGTGTAGAGACAAGAACGGATATACAGTGTAACAGACAAGAAGAGCGATGACATGCCAAAGATAGAAACAGTGATTCCATCATTTCGTCGCTACGTGGCACTAACGTGATTCAATCTCCATGAATCGATCAAACTTCATCTGCAAAGAGAAAGTGAGAGATATTCGTCTTATCGCGTTCCTAAAACTAGGTCCTCCCTGCGCAAAATAATCGAAGGACGCAGTGATGGAAGGAAAATTGTCGAAATGAGGAAGCACACAAAATTTCAAGAAATTTCTCTTCGCTGAACAAAATACCGAATGTCTCATTGACCGACCGAAAATTTTCACACACATCGAGGCGTGTATGTCAATTTTTCTCAAGGTCATTCGACTTCCCAAGTTTATGACAAGAGAGTCGTCCCCTGATCAGCGCCCCCTGTTGAGCATCGTTTGTTCAGCGAGCTCGATTAAATGGAGAATGTCGACGCTGTCGCGTGACGTGTAGTTTACAATTTTTAAATCGCCAGTTGTGACAGAATGGAATACTTTAAAAGCAGCTTGAAGTCCGTCTTGGGTTCTGCGTCTGTGGAGAACGAGCCATCGGGTGCTGACACGGTATTTCGAATTTCCCAACTTGTCTTATGTTTTCACTTTCTTTTCCTTCCTGTGCCGCAACACATGGTAGCCGTGCAACAATGACACTGTTTATATTAGAGAAATAAGAATTAAATCCCGTCTAACATGTTGCAATACATTTTTGTTTAAATATGTTTGTGTCTTTCACGTCGCTTCGTTTCTGTACTCGCATTCTCATTAGTATTATCTACAGGTAGAGCGACTGGTAGACAGATTACAGTCGTCGACATTGTTGAACGACAGGCGAGATGCATGTCGAGCACTCAAAGCTCTCTCACGCACGTATCGCGTCGAAGTAGGAGCCCAGGGCATGGACGCATTACGACAGATCTTAGAAATGGACAGAACTGACTGCGAGATCATTGGTTTGGCCCTTGACATGCTTTGCAACATAACAAATCCCAAAACATTCGACGAGGAAGGTAAAGAACGCACATGAATTAGTTTCTTTCGTTCGATCGACGAATAAAGCACGCACGTTTATTTTATGTTGTATTTTTGAATTACGATTTATTCTCATTTGTTTGAATTCATCTTGATTCATTCTGATTTCTTCTTCGTCTCTCCTAAAGTTTAGTTAGTATACTATTTCTGAAATTTCTGGGAATTGCTAACAAAGTATTATCAAACTATTCACTTTTATAATCCCTCTGTTGCAAATTAATTATCAACTTTCTACATTTGTACGAAATGTCACAACTAATTTGAGACATAGTTACAGAGCTACGAAAGGATTATTTTTTAATGAAAGAAATAGGTAATAATCAAATGGGGATATTCTCTGGTCCTTAGTGTTTCTCAGATTATCAGCCCTTATTATCTATTCCTTTTATTTAAAGAATTAAAAATTCTCCGCAGCAAAAAATTTGATTCAATTGCACTTTGAGTGATATTTCATTAACAAAGTCCAGAAATTTTGGAAAGATAACGTTATGAAGCTTCCAGAGAGATGGAGGAAAATAATAAATCAGAATGGATCATATATATAATTCAATAACACGATGTGAAACATCACACTGCGCATATATTATTCATTAATAATACAAAGGAATTAAGTTTTGAGACAACCTGATCTATTCAAGCTCGTAAAATGTGAGTTTCATTCTCACTTTCATGTGAATATTACTTTCAGTGGATAAACACGGGCCCAACAACAAAGTGGGAGAGCAATTCACGGAAATATTCATAAAAAATGCAGATAGTGTTGGATTAGTTCTGGCACTTTTGGAAGAATTTGAATTCAAAGTCAGGTGGCTGGCGATAAAGTTACTGATACATTTGTCAACTAACAGATTGAAGGATATTCAAGAAATAATCTTAGTCAGTCCCATGGGTGTGTCTAAACTGATGGATCTCCTCGGTGATAGCAGAGAAGTCATACGTAACGATGTACATTTTCATTGAAACTTTGTGCGTAACAGTCAGTAATTTCGTTCGTGTGCGATAATTCACAATCATATTTTATAACGTCACAGGTGTTGTTGCTTCTTATTCAGTTGACGAAAGGCAATGCAAATATTCAGAAAATTGTCGCGTTTGAAAATGCATTTGACCGCATTTTCGATGTCATCGCACAAGAGGGCAATGTAGAAGGTGATATTGTCGTGGAAGATTGTTTGTTGTTAATGTTAAATCTTCTGAGGGGTAATATAAGTAATCAGAATTTTTTTAAAGAAGGTACGTACATATATTTTACTACGTTGACTAAAAAAAAATACATGTAAAAATAATAACTTGCTATTTTAGGCAGTTATATTCAAAAATTAACGCCAATGTTTCAAATATCGTCCGAACTTGACGATAATCCTCTAAGCACGTGGAGCCCACAGAAGGTATCGAATGTTCATTGTATGGTTCAAGTGATTCGAGCATTAGTGGCCCCGAGTGGACCTGCCCAGGTAATTTCCTAGATATATAAATATGCAACGTATAAAAGCCGACCATTTTTTCACACCATTTCGCGTGTATATGTGTAGGCAGTGTCAAATTGTCAACGGATTATGAGAGCCTGTGGCCTTCTACAAGCTCTTTGTAACATATTGATGGCTAGTGGCGTACCCGCAAATGTACTGACCGAGACCATTAATACAGTGGCCGAGGTTATTAGGGGAAATTCCAGTAACCAAGAATTCTTGGCTGGAGTAATGGCACCCAGCAATCCTCCCAGGTATCTTCACGTTATATATCGCGCATTTCGCGAATTCCATTGATTCGTCACGTTGATACATTTCAAAAGTTTTCTTGTCATTTTTTTTTTAGACCAGCGATCGTTGTCTTACTCATGTCCATGGTGAACGAAAAACAATCGTTCGCTTTGAGATGTTCCGTTCTCTACTGTTTCCAATGTTTTTTGTATAAGAACGAAATGGGCCAGAGTCAGCTTATTCAGACTTTGTTACCCCAAGGAAACGAAGTGCCATCGTTAACGACAGGTTTGTGGAAAACTATCTTCGTTCGTTTGTTCTGTAAATTTTCTCCCCGTGGTATTTCGACGTGTTTCGAACCAGAAATATCTTACTAACGTAATATTGCTAGGACAGTTATTATGTGGAGGTTTATTTTCCTCGGATTCTTTGTCGAATTGGTTTTCCGCCGTGGCACTGTCCTACGCGTTGATCGAGGACAACACGCAGAAGGAACAGCTGTTGCGCGTGCTACTCGCAACAAATATCGGAAAGCCGCCAGTGACGTTAATGCAACAGTGCGTCATGTTGCTGCAACAGGGCAGTAAAGCACAGTGCAAATTAGGTCTCCTAATGTTACTTTGCAGATGGACTGCGCACTGTCTAGCTGCTGTTAAATCATTCCTACTTATCGATTCGTCTATAGCTTATTTAATAGCTTTATTGTCGTCGCAGGAGAATAACGACGATTTGCAAGAGACATTGTTGCAAAGCATGTGCGCCATGCTTATTGGATTGTGCGTGCATTTCAATGACAACAGTATTTCTAATTACACAAAGGTAATACCACGAAATTAAACACGATTAAAGAAGAAATAGAACGTATATGCGTGAAAACTCTATGCCAACGATTATACGGTTAAATTTTCTCTTCTGTCTTTTTTAGGAAAAGCTATGTGATTTAATCGAAAATAGAATCGGATTAGAAAGGTTTCAAGATGCTATTGGCGGCCTTGCTAGGCACGAGGTGTACTCTAGAACTTTAAAACATCCTCAACCTTCAGCAAAGAATCCTTCGGAACTTTTGCTAGACCATGAATTTTGTAGACTGTCGAAAACGTTAGAAGGTAATTTTCATTCAGGTATTTAAACGACTCTAACCCTTCGTTTCATGTAAAAGTTATGATTATGATCATGTATCTTGTAGGTGTGATTATAAAGTCGGTTCTGGATGGAAGTAGCTTGCATCAGAGAAACGAGATCACGACACCGATATTACCAGACTCTGTTTTGATAACTCAGTATAAAGAGGTCATTCGAGAACAAAGTTCTCAGATTCAAAAGCTAAACCAACTCACGGAATCACTTGTCAAAGAAAAAAACGAACTTGAAGTATAGTATTATATAATACGCATAATCATAAGTATTGTCGTAAGTAATTCTAATAAAATAGTGTTTGATAATTGACATGGTATTTACGTGATGCAGGCGCAAGTGCATGATCTTCGATCATCGATCAGTCACTTGAAGGATCAAAATTTGGTTTTACGCGCGGCACAGACTAACTTGATGTCGGAAGAAAGTGAATCGAACAACGTCACGACCAACGAAGGTTGTACAAAAGAGGCGGAGAAATACAAAACTGTGATTACAGAATTGGAAATTCGTTTGGTAGAATACGCTTCGATGGTAAAGAAGTACGAAACTGACTTTGAACGTAAATTGAAAGAGAAGTCCGAGGAACTAGAGAAATTGAAGAAAGATCAAGAGGATCTTTTGGAACTTTTAGCAGAAGACGAAAGCAAAATTATGCGCTACGAGGAAAAATTGGCTGCACTAGGTGAGAAGGTACGCGAAAGTGATATTCCGTTAAAATATTTCCCGTTGAATAAACCTCGATGTAAGGTAGTAATTTTAACATTTGTTCTTTCCTCTTAGATCGAGACAGATGAAAGTTCGATTGAATTGGATACCGACGATCAAGCAGAATGCAATAATTCCGTCGAACGTATCGACCGATTGATGTCACCTTAAAAATTGAGAAGTATATTGTAACGGAGTAATTTATATAACTATAAAATAACGCAGTCAAAAAGAAATCCTTATATATAATATAATATTTTTGTTGCGCTTTCCACCTAGTTGTCGAAAATATTGATAAATCAATGTATTGTGATAACACGATAAGTTATAGATACTATCAGTTGCAGATGTATTTATTTGTATTCGTACAGCTGTTGTTTTTTATATTAGCAAGAATTTAAATAAATAAAAGATCGATAAACATTCGAATTACGCTAAAAACGCATACACAGAAATTCGTCGACTACAATAACTTACTTAAATCGATATTTTAATGCTAATTCAATTTACATTTCAATTATAATATAATGACAAAAAATAAAAATTCTAATACTCCATGAAATTAACTTTTAATCTGTATATTCTGTCAAATTAAATAGTATTTACATATCTTTTAATAAAAGTGTTGTATTTTTAATATATTCTCATATATTATTATACAACTACTATAAAATATATCATTCTATTTATATTAGTAATTTAAATCCCTAATCTATAAGGTAGATTCTCGTTGCTTAATAACTGCTTGTACACATTTTGCCATTGTTTGCGAAGCACGAGATATCGCATCGGTCATGAAAAATTGATCCAATGTCTCTTGTTTAACTTCTAATGGATTGGAGGATAAAGAACCTGGTACTTGCTAAAAAGAAAAGAAAAAAGAAGGTAAAACAAGTATAGAACTAGTAAAATATTACTTGTAACATTCGTGCACTTACGTTTGATAATTCCAATGCCTGAGCGAAATAGTTAGCTGATTCTACGGCACCGTATCTAACTAAATGTGGTGCTACTTCTTCCAATCTGGATCTCACTTCAGCCAAGTTATCATAAGGCAAACGAACTCCGCAAATCTGAGAAAGTATTATTTTGTTAATCCTCTTTTCCCTCTTCTATTTTTTAGTTTACTCTTATAAAGGCGTATTAAGTTCAATCAATTACTTCGGAAAGTGCCCGTATTATCTTCCAATCCGGTCGTGCCATACCCGGTGGTGTGATTGCAGCGCAAGTTTGTTGCGAACGACCTTCCGTATTTACGTATGTCGCAACCTTTTCAGTATACGCAGCTCCAGGGAGTATAACGTCTGCGATCGAGGCTCCCTCGTCACCATGGCTACCTAAACCGTTAATCGAATTTGTCGATTGTGTTTGCAACCATTGTTGCCATTACAAAATAACGATTTTTATGTACCTATGTATATAATAAATGTATTTGGAAAGTCTTCTTTCTTGATATTCGCATCGTCAGCTCCTAGTAAAAAGAGAATTTTTGGTTGTTGTTCTTTAACCTCCTCGATAGTCGATGAATAACCCACGTCCAAAGCCGCTACTTGTGACGCTCTTGTGTGAAGAATATTTAACACCTTCCATTCTTCAGGAGCCTGTTAAGGAATATGTATACACATTACACATTATATACATATATAATATATACAATACAGAATAAATTTTTATCACTTTCCCCTTACTTTCGTGTTTTCTCCCAAAGCTTGAGCCAACAATTGCGTTTCAGACAAAATTTTTGCTCCATCTTTTCTCGTTAGTTGGTCAACGCCCAAGATGATTAAAGGCTTTTTAGCGGATTTCAGAGTGTTCGAAAATGGATGAGTACCGTTTCTTAATTGTGTTACGATATCTGCGGATTGACCTAAATGCTAATATTCAAACGAATTAATTGAAATTTGAATAAACGAAAAGAAGGTGTTAATATATCACCAAAGTCTTATGAAATTTTATACTTGCTTCGTAATCATAAGTTAAATCTACGTTTGGACCAATTAGACCAATGGTCTGTTCACCATGAATGTATCCTTTCCTTAAGCGAGTGTTCACCAGTGGCGCTTCATACCTCGGATTAGTACCGACCAATAACACAACGTCGGCCTCTTCCACAGCAGCAATTGTATTGTTCAATAGGTAATTACTTCTTATATCAATACCAGCGCCTTCTTTTGGAAAGCTTTGTTCCGTTGCAAGAATCTCACCACCAAGCCTATTTACTAAATCTTTCAAAGCTATGAGAGCCTCGGCATCGACTAATTTTCCAGCAATCGCAGCACATTTATTTGGAGCTATATCTTGAATAGCTCGGCCAGCTAACAAAGAGCATATTATCTCGATATCACAAGAAATGCCAGACTTCGAGGAAAGGCAAAAGAGAGCTTAAAAATTGACAACATTTTGAAATATAAACGCGACGTACTTGCTATGAGGGCATCTTCCCATTCAACAGCCTCTAACTTTCCATTAATTTTTATCATAGGAGTTATAAGTCGCTGGCGCTTTAATCCATCACAAGAGAATCGTGCTTTATCAGACAACCACTCTTCGTTTATTTCCTGCGTCGTGTTAAAAATCATTAAACATATATTTAATCAACAATTATCGCGTTAATAGTACCTCATTCACTCTTGGCAAAATTCTCAAAACTTCATTCGTTCTATGTGATATCACTATGTTACTGCCAACAGCGTCGAGAACATCAATACTATCTGTACGTCGTGTCTCCCATGGGCGAGCAACAAAAGCATATGGCTTACTCGTTAATGCTCCCACAGGGCACAAGTCGATAATGTTACCAGATAATTCAGACAGAAACATTTTTTCTACGTACGTTCCTACCTGTTAGGAGACAAGATATCAGGATATAATTTCTGGACAACAGTCCAAATAAATCAAGAAATAATATAAAAGTACTCAAAATTTTCTTCGAACGTACTTGCATGTCATTTCCACGGCCTGTAGTCCCTAAATCATCAATACCAGCCACTTCAGATGCAAAACGAATGCACCTTGTGCAATGAATACAACGTGTCATGACTGTTTTTATTAGAGGACCAATATCTTTGTCTTCCACAGCACGTTTGCCACTATAGTTGATGTCAACAAATCGGCTTCGATCACTACCAAACGCCATACTTTGGTCTTGCAAATCGCATTCACCACCTTGATCGCAAATGGGACAATCTAAAGGGTGATTTACCAATAGAAACTCCATAACACCTTCTCGAGCTTTACGAGTTAAATCCGAATTAGTTTTTACTCTCCATCCTTTCATCACTGGCATGGCACAAGCTGCAACAGGCTGAATATTTACGTCACATAGATTACAAACAATATAATTACGTGAATGTATAACATAAAAATATCTAATTATGTATTTATGCAAATATACGTATATAAATAAATATATATCTGTATATATATATATATATAT